AGAAAAAACCGGCGTACACTCGCACGATTACAGCGCCTTCATCGACACAGGTAGTCAAGCCAGTCTCATCCGATAATCGGTTGCCGAGCAAATTAACGCCAAGCGCCACAAGTGCTCTATGAAGATTAGAGGCATTTGCGGAGGTTCATGTATCCTCACAGAAGCGATCGACTGTGGATCTAGAAATCGATGAGAAGACGATTACAGCGAAAGTGTATATAACAGACAACGATCTATTGCAGGAAGACTTTCTGTTAGGACAGGACGTCATCTCCGCTCATCTCGAGCTCAACTTTGAGTCAGGCGATTCTAAAATCAAGCGGGCAGTCCATCAGCCGACAACCCCTGTAGGCACCAATATCGCGAAGCTGCTGGAAAATTTTGAGAACGACAAAGAAAGTAAGCAGATGCGCAGCTTACTGGAGAACTTCGCCGATGTTTTCTCGACAGGATTGGAAGGCATAGGGAAGACAAGCGTGGTCAAAGCAGACATCACCGTCGAAAGCAATCAGGTAGTCGCACAAGTCCCATACCGAGTATCCGAGCCAAAGAAAGAAATCGTAAGCAGAATGGTCGACGAGCTGCTAAAGCAGGACATCATCACGTTGTCAACATCAGAGTACGCCAGCCCGGTGGTGCTCATCAAGAAGCCGAATGGTAGCGATCGAATGTGCGTCGATTACCGCCGCCTAAACAAGCTGATCAAGAAGGAGAATTTTCCAGTGCCGAACATCGAAGAACGTCTGCAGCAGGCAAAAAGATTTAAGTTTTTCTCATCCCTCGACCTCAACAGTGGATACTATCAGATAGAGATAGCCCCAGAGAGCCGAAAGTTTACTGCATTCATCACCACAGATGGACTATACGAATTTAAGCGACTTCCGTTCGGATTGAAGAACGCACCTGCGGTTTTCAATAGACTCATGGCAGTGTTACAAAAGAGAGTGCAGAAAGGCGACATGATACACTACATGGACGACATCCTAATTGGCAGTCAAACATTTGATGAGATGTACGAGAAGCTTGAGAGGATCCTGAAAGTTTTAAAGGAGTGCGGATTAACGTTAAACCTGGACAAATGTGAGTTATATAAGCAGTCAATAACATTCCTTGGTCACCAGATACACGCAGAAGGAATCAGTCCTGGAGAAATTAAGACGAACGCCATCGTTCGTTGCTGGATATGCCGTTTTCTTGGAAAGCGCCACAAGAAGAAGCCTTTGAGGAATTAAAACAATGCCTAGTATCAAATCCAGTTGTCACCAGCTATCGTCTAGACGCAGAGCATGAACTACATACCGATGCCAGCGCCGATGGTTTAGCAGGAGTTTTGCTTCATCGTGAGGAGGACCAGCTAAAACCAATCGCTTATTATAGCCGAGCTACTTCTAAGCCGCAGAAAAATTACCACAGCTACGAACTTAAGGCTCTAGCCGTTATGGAATCGTTGGAGCGATTCAAATATTACATCTATGGCAAGAAGATAAAGGTTATCACCGACTGCAATGCCCTAAAGACGTCGATGGAGAAACGTGAACTGATACCCCGGATTGCAAGATGGTGGTTACGCATTCAAGAATTCGACATAGACATCGTTCATCGAGCAGGAACACAGATGAACCACGTAGACGCACTCAGTCGAGCTCCGTTCGAAGATGCTCGAGAGATGGATACCGCAAGTCTGAAAATAGCAAAAACGATAATCGACGAAGAGGATTGGCTATTTTCTATACAGCTGCAGGACGAGAAAATACAGCAAATTGTCTACAACATGAAATTGCAAAAGAAATCTGAGACCGACGAGTATGTGATCGAGCAAGATCGCTTGTTTCGAAAACATGGTAACAATCTGTTGTGGGTCGTGCCGAAGCAGTTGAGATTCCACATTTTACATGAATGTCACGATAAGGCCGGACATATGAGCATGGATAAGACTATGGCACGAATTCGAAACTTATTTTGGTTTCCCCGAATGCGAAACTATGTCAAAAGCTACATCAAATCCTGTGTGGGCTGTGCGTTTTATAAAAAACCAGGTGGACGTTAGGAAGGTCAATACCACTACGATGACATCAAGCCGATTCCCTTTTCCACGATACACATGGACCACTTGGGGCCATTTCCAAAGAGTTCCAAGAGAAAAAAGCATATTCTTGTGATAGTCGATGCGTTCACCAAATTTACGATTGTACGAGCGGTGAAAAGTACAGCAACTAAGCACGTCCTGGATGTCCTGCAAGATGTAACCAGCTACCTGGGAATGCCAGATCGAATTGTAACAGATCGTGGTACAGCATTTACATCAAAAGATTTCGAAAAGTACTGCAAGTCGAACAATGTAAAGCACATTTTAAATGCTGTAAGAACACCCAGAGCCAATGGTCACGCAGAGCGCACAAATCGCATAATTTTGTCAATGTTGTTGCCTTCCAATGACATCGATAAGCGTTGGGATGACAATGTCCGATCAATCCAGTGGAGCATTAATACCATGGTAAATAGTACTACTAAATGCTCTCCCTTTCAGCTCCTGTACGGGTATGAACCTCGAGATATCCCGACTCTGAATATGTAAAGTAGTCGAGACAGAGATAGACTCCAGAGCAGAACGTGTGCAGAACACTTATAGTTATAATTTCTTTATGTATTAATATATCCAACACAACTATCCTGAATAAAACCTACACCACTCGAATAGCTACCCTTTTCACCCGTTGTTTTTTCTAAATGTATTTTTGTTATTAGTAGGAACAAAGTAAAAAAGAAATACAAAAAAAAAAAAAGAGGGCGCTATCCAGCGGACCAGGGCAATCGGCCGTGCAAAGTTTTGGCCTCTGTGGCAGCTGTTTTGGAGAATCGGCTTTAGTTTATTGTTTCCATATATATCTTTAATTTGTGCTGAGTGAGCTGCGGTATTGGGGATTTCCCTTTTGACAACTGACTTTAACGAGTCAAGCTCTGATTGAAGTTTTTGAGCAATTGCCCACGGGAGGTGGTGTTTTTAAGTATAATAGCCACTTAACGTGCGCTATTCTCTTTTGAGTTTTGTTCTTCACACCTCCGCCTCTTCCCATCACGCGCACTCTTAATCACTCAGCCTTTTTTTTTTGCATCCAGGTTGCCGTTTCTCCGTTTTACTCCTTCCGGTCCTGGTCACGGTCGACATGTAGTGGGTCGATAGTTAATTGGTCTTGAATAATTACACTGGCACGTCTGTGCTGTTTGACTTTTGATTTCTGAATGTTATATTCAATATATTCTTATAGCTAAGACCGCAAAGCTGTGCTGCTGGTTTCGCCAGCAGCGGATCGGCTTCACACATATTTTGTCTTATCAGCTTAATCGGGAGAGAGAGAGTCTTATGTGCATACTTGCATATAAATGCATATGCTACAAGTGGTCAACGTGTGGCCGCTGACTTAGCATAGCTCATAAGTGGGCAATCTTATTACACGCTCACTTAAAAAGGTTTTATTTGTGTACTGCAACAATGTGTTGCTGATATATTTATGCTTAACCGATGTTACTTTATTGGTACAGTGTACCCTCAATATATGCGCATACTACTCAGTGTTGTGGAACTTGGACCACTGGATGCAATACCACAACAGAACAAATCCGCAGAAGAATATAAGTTTTGGATTGGGACCTCGCTCCCTAAATGGACTTCCTGCCGGACGTGCCCTCGAAAAGAAAGTAGTTTCTGGCCAAAGGAATATGATTACTGTGCGAGCAGATCGCCAGCGCCAAGTCATGCGCGCATAGGTGTACGACGGCAACTGCAGCGCTCTCTGCTTATCTTTGTCGCCTTCTTTCTTATACCACTAAAGCTGTCGCTTATCTCTTCAGCAACTACTTTGTAAGTATGAAGTTCTTGGAGCCGAGCTTTTACACAGTCCGTCTGCCGCTCCGAATAAACGCTATACATTTAATATAACCTATTCGTGCGTTATTAATTATAAATATAAGGGTGGCGTATTTGTTGCTGCTATGCACGCAATTTGTCGGCAAGAACAACAACAACCAAGTTAAAGGTTCCGTTGCATCTCGGCGACGCTTGTTAACCTCCACATTTTCGCAGTACAAGGTATACGATGTTTCGTGCCTCTAACGCGGTCGGACATTTTATTTTATTTCATTTTTTTCTCGTGATTGAATAATGTCTGATACGGAAATCTCGGTTTCGTCGACTACTACCGAGTCAAAGCCCAATCTATTTTGCGGCAAATGAGCTCGATAAAATGTTACTTAAACGCTTATGCGATTAATCAGTTTGACGAAGCTGATTTGATGGCGCGAATGGAATGGATCAATTCCTTAAACCTGGCATTTGATTCTGCGCAGACATCGGAAATGATGATGAGCTAAGCGATATTGAAAAATTACAATATTTGCGTTCGAGTTTGGGCGGCGTGGGTCTGGAAACCATAACCTCGCTTAAACTGTAATATGTTTAAACGAGTAGGATTTTCCATAAAGCCCAAATAATATAAGTCCAATTCATTAAGGTTAGATATCCATTTGGATGATTTTTATTTGTACTGTATTCGGAGCAGAGCAGCCGTTGTTGCCGCTCTGAGCTCAAAAGAGTTTCTTTACAAACTTAATTTACTTAGGAGCTAAGGAGGTCTAAGTCTCATAGCGGCGCTGCCAACAGCGGCAGCGGAGAGACGGCCTATATATTCTTAAGTATATAGCTATGCTCACTTAGTCTGGAGCGCGGAGGTATATGTAAGTTAAGTCCTTCCCGCGGGGCCTCGTATGTCCCTGGGAAGGACCGACTTAATACCTAGACATTCCGGTGTATTTGTGCAGTCCCAAGCGTAGCTCGTTCTTCCCAATCGATAGCGTTGGCCCTTGCATACGTGATAGTTCCTCCCAATCAATAGCGTTGGCCTTTAGTATACGTTAGAATTCTTCTTTATTCAATAAACTTAAGCTGACAAGTCGTGTTGATTCGGCGGTCCAATTGGCTCTGCCCCAGTCTTCTGCGCCGACACCTGCCAGAGCCCAGGTGAGTCCGGTCCCGGCGTCGACGTCGGCGTCAACGTCAGCGGCCGGCTGAAGTTTTGCCGACCTTGCAGTTCTCACCGTTCTCCACTTGCACGGTGAGCGGACAGCGTTCCCGAGCCAGGCCAGCGGATGTCGTTGTGCTGACTCGGCACGGGGTGCGGCGGGCAGGTAGGTCAGCGCCCGGCGCATGTTGCCGCGCTGAGTCGGCATCGCGGCGGGGGAAAGGGGAAGCCGGCCGGTCAGCCCTCTTCTATTTATTAGGTGGGCTGCCAGCCCTCTGTTGTTAACTTGTATGTACTTGACTTTGGCTGAGCGGCCGGCGTGTGCAACAGAATGCTGACACTTGCACTTTCTGTGTACGCCGCCGATCGACTCATGTTTCGGCCACTTAGGTTTTTGACCGAGCCTTTGTTTATGTAAACACTGCAACAAAGTGTTACAGTGTGTTTGATTCAAGTACTCTTGGTACAGTAGATATTCAATATAAGTGCATACTACATCTCCCTCCTTTTGAAAAATAACGTAATATAATGGAGTTATTTTCTTTGAGCAAATTTTGAGAAAATTTATATTATTTATAGCAATAAGCTTAAAATTTTTTTTTGTTTTTAATTTGTTTTTCTATTTTTTTTTTTGTGTATAATTATTTTAGATATGATTATTTGTATATGCTCTTATATTATGTATGGCCATACGTGATATATTTATGGTATAAAAATTGATTATGAAATAAAGAGTTTTAATCTATCTTTATGTACTATTTGTTTTTTATTTTTAATTTTTATTATAGTTATGTTATCTCTATCTCCTATTTGTTCTACCCTATAAGAATCAATATATTTCGAATCTAACTAATGTCCTGTTTCATATTTCAATAAAACCTGATATCCTATTTTTAAATCGAAATCTAAACTAGTTTTGTCGTAACTAATTTTCTGTTTTAACTTATGAGATTCTAGCATTAGTCTAGCTCTCTTAATTGCCTGTTCTAATCTAAATTTGGATTCCTTAGCATAATCTTCTATGTTATAAAGGGGTTTTATTTTATCTATGCTATTAAAATGTTTTGGTAGATTTGAAGTTTTACCAAAAACTAGCTCATATGGACAATAGTCATGTGCCATAGATGGGGTTGTATCAAAACAATAGACGAAGTATCGTAGCCATACATCCCAATCTGTTTTGTCAACTGAGATGTATGAACGAATGAACTCATTGAGTGTTTTGTGGCTTCGCTCCACGGTACCTACACTCTGGTGGTGGTGTGCAGTTGAAGTTATGTTTTTAATATGTAAGTATTTACATAGATCTTCAATAATTGAATTTTTATATTCTGTTCCCATGTCCGTAATGAACGTCTTCATCGGACCGTACTTTAGAATAAAATCTTCAAATATAGCTTTTGCTACTGTATTTGCACTTTTATTTGGTATAGGTATAGCTACTAGGTATTTAGTTAAATCGCAGATGAGTGTTACTGCGTATTCGTTTCCATTATTCGATTTTGGAAGTGGACCAATAGTATCTACAATTACAATATCAAAATCTCTTTGTGGAGTTTCGGTTATAGTTAGTGGGGTCTTAGTATGTTTAGTCGTTTTCGACTTTTGGCATTTAGGACATTTCTTTATGTACTCTTTTATGTCTTTGGACATATTTTTCCAGTAATAGTGTCTCTGGACCTTGGCCAAGGTTTTTGTAATGCCTGTATGAGCACCTTGTATTGGATCATCATGGAATGTAGACAATATAGCTTCTTTTTCTTTATTATTTTTGATTACGGTCACCGGGTTGAGTAGCGCTACTCTCAATGATTTCAATATATTATTGCCCATCATTTTAAAATTATCAATTGAAACATGTTCAAAAATATTTTCCCATGGTGCGAGTTGGCTGACTTTGTGAATACCGGCCTGCTTTTCAAGCCTTTGAAAGAATTGACCTAAGTCAATGGTTCCATTAGTATACAAATCGCTAACATCATAACTTGCTGTAACTTTCTTTCCGTGCTTAAATAAACACATTTTATTATTTAGATGCAAGGTCACTACTTTACGTACTTCAGCATTATTAATGACTTTATATGTATACGTTGGTCTTTGAAGCTTTTTCTATAGATTGCTTATGCACTTCTAATTGATCTTTTCCTGCGCAGGATTTTTGTCTACTTTGGTTTCTGGTAGTGACTTTCAGAATTTTATTGCTTGTTTGTATACTTTTTAAGTCTGTGATGGTTATTCTAGAGAGCGCATCGGCTACATAGTTATCTTTACCCTTTAGATACTCTACCGTAAAATAATATTCCTCCAATTCAAGTCTCATTCGTGTTAGTTGGAACTGGGATTTACCATTGAAAATAAGTATGTAAGTGCTCTATGGTCTGTTTTGACAGTGAAGTGTCTACCATAAATATGAATGAATGAATGGATGCTAATTCTTGTTCTGTAGTGCTCTTGTTGCTTTCACCTTTCGTAAAGGATCTTGATGCGTATGCCACTGGAAGCTGTAGTCCATTTTTGTTTTGAGTTAGGACTGCTCCACAAGCGTATTTGCTAGCATCTGTGATTATGCAAAATTCTTTGCTAAAATCTGGGTATTGCAACAGAGTGGGATTTATTTAAGATGTTCGAAGGCGTTTTGACATTCTGTTGTCCATTCGAATTTTACATCGTTCTTACATAATCTTGTTATGTGACGGGAGTATTCAGCAAAATTATTTATAAAACGTCGGTAATAATTGCAAAATGCAATGAATCTTCTAGCGCTGTCCGCATCATGTGGGACTGGATAATTTTGAATTACGTCGTATTTTTTGTCGTCGGGCAAGATTCCTTTATCTGTGCATTTATGTCCAAAGAAAGTGACTTCATGCATGAAAAATGAACATTTTTCAGGATGTAACTTCAAGTTGTGTTTCCTACATTTCTCGAAAACATCAGTTAAGTTCTTGAGCATATGTTTTTCGGAACAACCTATGACTATTAAGTCATCCATATAAAGAAATGCTTGCGAAGGTTCTAATCCAGAGAAAGCTATAGTCATCATTCTCTGAAAAGAGTTTGGCGCTCAAGGCATGAGAAATATTTTGCTCTACCAGGTTGATCTAAAATATCATCGATTCTAGGGAGTGGAAATTTATCAGACAAGAGTTTTTTATAATTTCGACGATAGTCAATTAGTAATCGCCATTTTTTATTTTCCGAATTTGGAAGTGACTTTTTTGGTACTAACAAAAGTGGGCTATTATAAGGTGATACAGAGGGTTCCACTATTTCATCATTGATGAGTTTTTGGACTTGTTTTTGAATTTCGTCTTGTTGACTATGAGGATTTCTATAATTTTTTATATATACGGGTTCATCATCAATTAATCTCAGCTTTTGTTTATAAAAATTATTGGTAGTGATCGATTCGGTTTCCAGTCCGAATACATCACTATACTGGGTGCATAATGCTGTATGTTGTTCATTGAATTGAGGTGGGAAGTTTTTTGCAAGTTGGGGTAATACAATTTTTTGTCTGTCTTCTAAGTCCGTTTTTACTATTTCGTAGTTTGAAAGTGGTTCATGATGAATGTTTTTGATATAAACTACTTGATCTGTGTTTGTAGTATTTAGTAATCTTATATATGCATTTTGTACTGTTGCTATGGTATCTGCGTTATAGATACCATGCTGAATTTCTTGATTCGGAATTAATACACTGTCTTCTTCTGAATTTATTTCTATTTTTCGGACGACTTGGGATCTTGCTGGGAGAACCAGGGAACATAAATTGGATGTTTTAGGTTATTTGGTCTTATTATAAGCCAGTCTTCAGACGGCTTGAAGTCTAATTGACAGTTGTATCTTTTGATAAAATCGATTCCTAGTATTCCATCACATGGAATAGCGAATTGCATATTTACGATATGGAAATCATGTGGAATTATGTACTTAGAAGATTGAATTTCAATAGAAGTTAAGCCTTTTGATTTGGTAACTTCCTGACTTATACCCTGTATGTTTATGGTGTGATTGTCTTGAATGTTTTGAAAATTATCGGAATTTTCCTTCAATATGGATATTTCCGCACCTGTGTCTAGTAGGAGGACTAAATCTTTGACAAGTGACAAATGTATTTTGGCTGAGATTTAAAGTGTGAATTTTGATGTTGTTTACTGTCGTGTATCTAAAGGTGGTTGGGAGTTTCCCGAATTTGTTTGCGCTACTCTAACATTGTTATTGTGGTTGTTGTTGTTTCCCCCACGGCTGTTTCCACCGCTGGTGTTTCCACCACGGTTGTTGTTTCTGTAATAATTGTTATTTTGGTTATTGTTATTTCTGTTATAACCATTGCTTTGATTATATCCGTTATTCTGATAATATCTGGTATTGTTATAGTTACCTCGATTATTACCTCGTCCGCGCTGCGGGTAATTTTTGTAATATAGGACAGTGTTTCGCTGTCCGGTTGCTTCTGTGCAACTGTTTACAAATTTGGATATGGCATCATTCATTGTATTGAAGGTACCAGCTTGCATGATAGTTTTTACCTTATCGATTGTGCAATTTTTAGTCATTGCTTTCACTGCATGCCGAGTGGAATAACTTCTGGCTAACTCTAGGGATAATTTTTTTGACGTTGGACATCGCTATAATCATTTGTCCGCTTCCTTCGAATTATTAACCAACGCTCATGAAAATATGTATTGTCATATGTTTAAAAAATGCGTTTTACTATCTTTTGTATATTTACCTTTTAGAGCTGTTTATAACCCTTCGCGGGATTTTTATTGGCACAAGACATTTCATCATTCACTTTTGGCTAACGGAACCCATAAAACACCTTCAAAAGGTACGTACTTTAAACTAAGATCAATGCACAACATCTTAAACTTACCTGACCTTATGATTTTCACTTTTAGAAACGAAAAAAGTAAATCTGCTGCGCACAATTTAAATGTCTTCTCCTCAGCCCTTTACTTGATTTCTTTTGTTTTCTCTTCGCTGTTGGCGCGCCCCTGCACCTATACCCTTTCTTAAGCGAAAATTACCCGACTATATAGTATATACTCCTTGAGTAAAAAATACAATATAAATTTTTAAAAATGTTAATATTTAAATGTTTTAAGTATTTAAATAAATTTTAACGGACTAAATTTCTATAACTAAACTAAAAAATTATATTTTAATAAAAATGTGCAATACGTAAATATAACTTTATAAGTAAATTCAATTTACTTAATTTTACTATAATCAAATAATTTACTTTTCTAGTTGTTGCTTTCTGTTAGTTGCTTTTTACGATATACAAAAATGCTCCCAACAAATAATACGGCTTTCACATGTCGCTGCTCCACGAAAACTTTTCAGCCGAAATGTTAGTCGCCTAGTCAACATTTAATGTATTATACCCGTTACTCGTAGAGTAAAAGGGTATACTAGATTCGTCGGAGTCCATCTAGCCGTGTCCGTCTGTCCGGTTGAACGCTGGGATCTCGGAAACTATAAGAGCTAGGCTATTATGATTTGGCATGCAGAATCCTGAGCTTCTTACGCAGCGCAAGTTTGATTCAGCAGCGTGACACGCCCACTGTAACGCCCACAAGCCGCCCAAAACTGTGGCTCCTACAGTTTTGATGCTAGAATAAAATTTTTAACTGAAATGTAATGTTCTCATAAATACCTATCGATTGACCTATTTGCCACGCCCACAAACCGCCCAAACCTGTGACGCCCACAATTTTCATGCTAGACAAAAAATTTTATCTGAAATGTATTGGTCTCGTCAATACTTATCGATTGATCCAAAAAAAAATTTGCCACGCCCACTCTAATGCCCATAACGCCTAAATCTGTCTACCGTCGGTAGGTGGCGCATTTTAATCTCGCTTTGCTGCTTGCATATCTCCATTTACCTTTGGTCCCTTTAGCTGAGTAACGGGTATCTGATAGTCGAGGTACTCCACTACAGCGTTCTTCCTTGTTTTTTATATATTTCGGATCAATTATAAAAATAATTCCAGGACTTAGCAATAAATGACCGATCACGCTGTACTCGGATGCCTCCTCTAGTTTTGCATCAGCGCCAGGAAGTCCTTCTTCTGTCCTCGATAAAAGTTTCCCAGCGATGGGGTGGACGCTAACTTGCCCAGTTCGGCATCTTGGCTAGCCATTTGACTTTTTGTAGTGCAGTCTGTGTTGTCAGCCACCGAAAAGCACGTTACAGTGTCCAAGAAATAAATATATTAGAATTAGACAAACATAAAGTAATTACAATTAAAAATGGGATACTTACCATTTGCTCAAAAAAATAAACAACACCCTGACGTAACAAACTTGCGCTGCGCAGAAATCTCGTAGCCCTTATAGTTTCCGAGATCACAGCGTTCAGACGGACAGACAGACAGACGGATAGGCGGAAATGGCTACATCGACTCGGCTAATCCTAATCAAGAATTTACTTAATGGGTTCAAAAACGCTTCCTTCTATCTGTTACATACTTTCCGATCTACCCTACGAGTGCTGCTCAGCTCCGATTTCCAATATACCAATATGGGCCTTGAGAAATGGGAGCCGGATTTGAAACGGGGTGGTTCTGCTGGTGCTGCAGGAAGTCGCCCAGCATCCTGGCAAATGGCTGGTAATGGCTTTTCCAGCTGGCCCTTAGCGGGCAGCGTTTTCCCTTCTCCCTATTACAGTTAGAGCGTGCTCCCGCTCTGCTTTAAGCCTAGTACTCAGATCGGCTAAGAGTTTTACTAGTGGAAAAATCGTATTCTTTGTAGTGTGTCCAAAGTCAAGCAGCTGGGCTTGTTGCCAAGCGCAAAACAAATCAGTTGGAGCCATTAAAAAAGGAAGAGTCTGCTGGTGCACAAAGAAATTATAATAAAAGCAAGGAAGAACGCTATAGTTAAGTACCTCGACTATAAGATACCCGTTACTCAGCTAAAGGGACCAAAGGGAAAGAGAGTCTCGCAAAGCGAGACTAAAATGCGCCACCTACCGGCGGTAGACAGATTAAAGCGTTATTGGCGTTAGAGTGGGCGTGGCATATTTTTTTTAATCAATCGATGATATTGACGAGACCAATACATTCCAGTTAAAATTTTTTATCTAGCATGAAAATTGTGGGCGTCATAGGTTTCGTTGGTTTGTGGGCGTTAGAGTGGGCGTGGCATATTCGCGTAAAAAACTTGCGCTGCGCTCAAGGCAACGGAATCTAAATCTGAGATCCCAATTCTCTATCTTTGATAGTTTCCGAGATATCCACGTTCATATTTACGATTTTTTGGGTATTTGGGCGGTTTGTGGGCGTTAAAGTGGGCGTGGCAAACTTTATGTCAATCGATAGGTATTTTTCAATTTCAATTAAAATTTTTATTTTAGCATTAAAACTGTAGGAGCCACAGTTTTGGACGGTTTGTGGGCTTTAGAGTGGGCCTGGCACTCTGCTGAAACAAACTTGCGCTGCGTAAGAAGCTCAGGAATCAAATCTCAATAGCGTACCTCTTACAGTTTCCGAGATCTCAGCGTTCATCCGGACAGACAGAAAGACGGACAGACGGGCATGGCTAGATCGACTCGGCTAGTGATCCTGATCAAGAATATATATACTTTATGGGGTCGGAAACGCTTCCTTCTGCCTGTTACATACTTTCCGACGAATCTAGTATACCCTTCTACTCTACGATTAACGGGTATAATAAATGGAATGTTCAACGAATGCTTATAACTATGCATTGTATTGTTGAACGTTGATCCACTAAGAGCATTACAAACAAATGGCCCAAACAACACCAAGCACGTGCTCGCTACGCGCGGGCACATTTTTATTTCGGGCAAATACGGTTTGCGAGGAAGGTACATTGAACAAATAAAGACAGGACAAAACATAGATCAACAAGATTAAAGCAAATGAGCTAAGATTTTAGTTTTTAGTACAGGGATAGAAGTTGAGGAACAAATTAAATGATATAGGTTGTTATAATTATTAGAAAGAACGCGAAAGGGCTCATGCTGACTAAAATTAGATGAACATCGTGGCAAGTTGATAGGATGGTCGTTTCGCATTAGTCTAACAGGAACATTGAAACTTAGGCGGCTTACCAAATCTACAGAATCAATATCGCCTCTGATAAGATTATTCATAAAAATAGTACCAAGCATAATTCTACGGCTTACTAGAGTAGGCAAATTAATTAATAGCGATCTACTCGAGTAAGAAGGCAACCTGACGTTTTGATCACAGTTCAAACCACGTAAGGCATAAAGAAGAAATTGTTTCTGTACGAACTCTATACGGGCAATGTGCACTTGATACTGAGGACTCCAAACGGAAGAACAGTATTCTAAATTAGGACGGACAAGGGAGGTAAATAATAATTTGGTAGTGTATGGATCATCAAATTCCTTTGACCAACGCTTTATAAACCCAAGAACACTCATAGCTTTATTTACAGTAGAGGTTATGTGGGAGTCAAATTTAAGTTTAGGATCTAGGAGAACACCTAAATCGTTTATTGAGTATATTCGGTCCAAGGACATGTTCTGAAGAAAGTAAATCACGAACGTTGGCGTACCCCTATAAAAACTCATAACGTTGCATTTAAGATAGTTTAAATTCAAAAGGTTGTACTGACACCATTCCTGGAATCTATTTATGTCTGACTGCAAGCAGAAACCATATTCAATATTATTATATGAAAAACAAAGCTTAACATCATCAGCATACATTAGCACACGAGAGTGATTTACGATAGAAGGAAGATCATTTATAAACAGAGTAAACAGCAAAGGGCCTAAATGACTGCCCTGAGGCACTCCAGATGTCACGTTGATCATCTTGGAAACAGCGTTTTTGAATAAAACCCTCTGAGATCTACCTTTCAAATAACTTGAAATCCAAGTTAACAGATTATTCGGAAACCCAAGCTGATCTAATTTGAATAAAAGAAGAGAGTGGTTAACAGAGTCAAAGGCTTTACTAAAATCTGTATATATAACGTCCGTCTGCAATTTTTTGTTAAATCCATCTAGTACAAAAGATGTCAATTCGAGCAGGTTAGTGGTTATCGATCTACGCTTAACAAAACCATGTTGACACGGCGATATTAAGGAGGAGCACAAATGTTGCAACTGAGAGGTAATAATGCGTTCAAATGTTTTAGGAATTGCAGACAATTTGGAGATTCCTCTATAGTTCTGAACATTAACCTTCGAACCCTTTTTGTGGAGTGGAATAATAAAAGAATCTTTCCAGATAGTAGGAAAAAGAGATGATGAGATAGACAAATGAAAAAGTTTAAGAATGGGTTTACAAATAGTTCGGGCACAAAACTTAAGAACACACCCAGGGAGTCCATCTGGCCCCGGAGAATAGGTTGGCGTTATAGTTTCTAAATCACTTAAGAGAGAACTCTCGGTGATTACAGGAGAAAAAATACAATTTGCCCTGTTTAAGTGATTAGGGTAGCTAGAATTAGACCATGAAACAGAACTATAAGTAGATTGGAAGAATTCAGCAAATAAATCTGCAATTTCGGGATCCGTAGATGCCTCAATAGAGTTTAATCGTACGGATGATGGCAATGCTGAAGACTTTCGCTTAGTTATAAAGTTATAAAATTGCCTCGGATCCTTTGAAAATTCAAATTTACATCGGTTCAAATACATGGAATAGCAATGACTGTTAGGTACATTAAAATTAGTACGAGCCACCACATATCTTGAAAAATCGGATGGCCTACCCGACTTTTTGTACTTTTTATAGAAGTTTGCTTTTAGGTTTCTAAGTCTTTGCAACTGATTGGTAGTCCAAGGTGGCCTGTCTAACTTAGGAGGATAACTGTCAGGAACACATTCACAGAAAAAAGAGTTTAGGACACTATAAAATAGTTCCGTAGCACTTTCAATATCCAAGCAATTATATAAATTTGTCCAGTTATATTGTGAAATCAAGTTGTTGAGTTTACTAAAGTCACATTTACGAAAGCATCTACATTTATTTGGAGAAAGTGAAAGAGAGGGGGTATCAACGCCGGGAAGACAAATTGTAAGTTCTAATGTGGTATGATACTGGTCTTCAGGCACAACTAGTGTGTCAATTCTAGATACAGTGACTTCAGACGGATCTAAAACAATTACAGGATCTAATTGTCTGTTTAGTGAATTACGTATAAAGCTAACTTGCTGTAATGATAATTCTAACAGACCGTCAACGAAGTCATGGTCAGATAAAGGGGTAGAGACAAGTGAGTCAGTGGAAAGGGACCAAGAAATGTCAGGGAGATTGAAATCACCCAAAACAATTAAAAGATCCCTTTCGGAAAGATGAGATAAAACAGTTTTTATTGCAGACAAATGTTGCTCATAAATTGTTAAGTCGGATCCAGGTGGAATATAAGAACAAGTTACATAAATAGAAAAAGATTTTAAAGAAACTTTAACACCAACGAATTCTATGTCATTGGGATTAAGAAAGTATATTCTCTCCGATGATAAAGTAGAGGTAACGGCAACCAGCACCTTAAACCAGACCACCAGACTTAAACGAGACACAAATAATTGCTTCCTATATGGAACAACCGAGAGGCTCTTTCTTCCACCATTAGCAATCTGAACATCGTTCGTCTGATTATCAAGACTAGGGACTCCTACAGAGCTAACTTCACCAGTAGGCACAGAAAGCTGCATAGGGTTTGACCCCTTAGGCTGACTAGCAGAAACAGGGACTCCTCTAGAGCTTTTGGTACCTATGGGTACTGCTGTCAGAGAAACTTTAGGTACCCCAGACCCAGTAGATGCCGACATAGCTGCCGTTACCCATCGGGTAAAAATATTTGGAGCTGAGTTGGGATTTGGAACTGATGCCTTTACGGGAGCAGATTTTGAAGGAGCGGTCTTTTTGGGTTTAACTCTTGCCTTAAACTCTTTAAAATCAGCAACTAAGCTCATAAGCTTATCAAAAAGT